TGTCACGCAACATTTATATATTTATTTGACGCACTTTATCACGTAATGCACAAGTAATCGAACGGAACGGCTTATTGCCTGTGTAAGTGTGCTTTTGTAAACATTATACTAATGTGTGTACAAGTAACACAATGAGTGAAGAATAATGGTTAAAATAATAAAACATTTGTGTTCCTTTACGAATGCAGTTTCATTAACAAATTCATTTTAAAAAATATCAAAATATTGGGTAAATCTCCTGCAAAGTTAATGTGTTACTTTTGCAATTAACATGTGACAATTGTTTATTTTAAAATAAAAAACGCATGATCTATGCATATATATTATATTCTAAAATACAATAAAATCGAGCAATTTACCGATACGAAATAAATACACCAAGGATTAATAATTGTAAAAGGATGATTAATATTATTACGCAACAATTGCTGAACTTGTTATATATGACATCTATGAAACTTGCAGGGTTCGTTTCAAATTCGAACGATAATGTCTTTCTACCCCGGACTTCATTATCCATTGACTTTGACGAATTTTAAAACTGATTTTGACGAATTTTGTAACTTTTTAACGCCAGCTAAAATATGCACAATTTTCATACATATAATATAGGTTAATAACTTTTGTATAAAAATCGATCGTTTGTAAAATTGAATACAGGATTATTTCTCTTTTTATCATAATTAGTATTATTAATATAATGACATGTTATTCTGTGATAAACCGTGAAGCACGAGTGAATTTCAATGGACAGATTGAAGTCAGTTTCTTCTAACAGCTGATTGATTTTCCAGGAATCAATTCGTGCCAATTACTTTTAGTCCACCATTTAAACACAAATATCGAAAATACAGGATACCGTCGTATGAGAGATTAATTATAAGAAACAAATGCGGTTTTGTAGATAATATATCAAAAATGGAAAGACAATTTTTATATTTTTTAAATACCGTGCGCAAATTGTATACGTTTGCTTTAATCAAAATGTGCTTGATTGTCGCCTGCGGTAAAAAATGGAACGTTGTGTAAAAACTTTATAGATACAAGCATTGAAATATTTATTATTCAATACGTTTAATCGTGTTAATTATTTAATATGTTTAATCGTATTAATTAGTTAATTATTAACTCGTATTTCTGTATTAGTTAAGAAACTTTAAACTGGATACCGAAAATGTTGGATTTGAATTATTTTAGCTCATTTGTTTCAATAAAATAATGTTATGTATTTTATTGGAAAAATGTCCGTGCAAGTTTCCAAATTGCTAGAGAAGCTACCGATGTCAATCAACGAGTTGGCGCGTGAAGAGGCTGACTCAGAAGAGCTATGGCTCTAATTGGTCAGAATAGAAAAATGGACGCCTCACACATATTTTCAGCGGTATTTGATCGGTTACGCCTACATTAACACGTTGACTACCACACAAAAGCATTTGAAAATAATATTAGATGTTATTTTTGTTTCTAACAAATCTTACTAAATATTCTCACAATATTAAATATAATTGTTTCACATAACAGTTATATTTATTATTCATAGTTTCAAATAGTTTATACGAACATTTCCAATTAGGTTAGTGGACAAATTCTTAATAACACAGATGATACATTCGTATTGGAGATTAAGCGTCATATGCGAGTGATGTGGCAGTCAAAATGTTAAGCAAAAGGCAGTGACAGTTGGCAAATATCTTTAAGAGTGAGAGATAGTGCATATTGCATAATACAGTTATTATTCTTATTTGCCGAAAAATAACGCTAGAAAAGTTCACGGTGAGGTTAGACTTCTTTTGGGTCAACACTCATAGTTTGACATCTGTCATCTTGGAATCGTCGATATATCCTTTCTTTCAAAATAATTCAAATTAATTTCGAATTTGGAAACTTGGAAATCCAAGTGATACCGAAAGTATCAACAGTGAATACGAAAAAATTCTGTTGCATGATTTGAAAAGGAAACAAACGAAAAATTAATGAATGTCACAAAGGATACAAAAACATTCGAGTCACAATAGAGTTCCAGTCTTAAAGTTAGATATCGAATATTAATTAAATATAGCGGACTTCCATCAAGCATATTCTGTTATATACAGTTTTTTATTCGCAACAGTAATGTTAAGATTTGTGTGCGTCAGTGAAGTCATGTGTATCACGTAACTATATCATTCTTTTTTTGTAAATATACAATTTTGTATCAGCTGCATGGACAACCGATTGGGATGGTTTTATGAATCAGTTTGTAGTATTTTCGTGAAACCATTCTGTTGTCGTAACGCTACTAATAAAACATAGTCTGTATTCGAAAAAATGTACAGTGAGGGACACAGGTTGTCTCTGAAAAAAGAAGCAAAAAGACGTATGCGTGTATAATAAATATGGTTCTTCCAATAAAAGGGTGTCTGATTTACTCTCCACTTTTAAGCACTCAATGAATTAATTTAAAAATAAGTAAACTTTTTCTTCTATTTTATACTATACGGGGTGTCTTACAATTAGTGTAGGTCCCTGAAATGGGGGGTAGCTGATATGATTCTGAATAAGATTTCCCTTTGTAAAAATGGGATTTGAAGCTTCGTTTTTGAATTATTAAGGAAAAACACGGACCAATCAGAGCGAAGAGATTACGCATGCGCAGACGCGAGAGCGACAGCGTCGAGCCTAGTGGCTGCGCATGCGTAGTCCCTTCGCTCTGATTGGTCCGTGTTTTTCCTTAATAATTCAAAAACGAAGCTTCAAATCCCATTTTTACAAAGGGAAATCTTATTCAGAATCATATCAGCTACCCCCCATTTCAGGGACCTACACTAATTGTAAGACACCCCGTATAGTATAAAATAGAAGAAAAAGTTTACTTATTTTTAAATTAATTCATTGAGTGCTTAAAAGTGGAGAGTAAATCAGACACCCTTTTATTGGAAGAACCATATTTATTATACACGCATACGTCTTTTTGCTTCTTTTTTCAGAGACAACCTGTGTCCCTCACTGTACATTTTTTCGAATACAGACTATGTTTTATTAGTAGCGTTACGACAACAGAATGGTTTCACGAAAATACTACAAACTGATTCATAAAACCATCCCAATCGGTTGTCCATGCAGCTGATACAAAATTGTATATTTACAAAAAAAGAATGATATAGTTACGTGATACACATGACTTCACTGACGCACACAAATCTTAACATTACTGTTGCGAATAAAAAACTGTATATAACAGAATATGCTTGATGGAAGTCCGCTATATTTAATTAATATTCGATATCTAACTTTAAGACTGGAACTCTATTGTGACTCGAATGTTTTTGTATCCTTTGTGACATTCATTAATTTTTCGTTTGTTTCCTTTTCAAATCATGCAACAGAATTTTTTCGTATTCACTGTTGATACTTTCGGTATCACTTGGATTTCCAAGTTTCCAAATTCGAAATTAATTTGAATTATTTTGAAAGAAAGGATATATCGACGATTCCAAGATGACAGATGTCAAACTATGAGTGTTGACCCAAAAGAAGTCTAACCTCACCGTGAACTTTTCTAGCGTTATTTTTCGGCAAATAAGAATAATAACTGTATTATGCAATATGCACTATCTCTCACTCTTAAAGATATTTGCCAACTGTCACTGCCTTTTGCTTAACATTTTGACTGCCACATCACTCGCATATGACGCTTAATCTCCAATACGAATGTATCATCTGTGTTATTAAGAATTTGTCCACTAACCTAATTGGAAATGTTCGTATAAACTATTTGAAACTATGAATAATAAATATAACTGTTATGTGAAACAATTATATTTAATATTGTGAGAATATTTAGTAAGATTTGTTAGAAACAAAAATAACATCTAATATTATTTTCAAATGCTTTTGTGTGGTAGTCAACGTGTTAATGTAGGCGTAACCGATCAAATACCGCTGAAAATATGTGTGAGGCGTCCATTTTTCTATTCTGACCAATTAGAGCCATAGCTCTTCTGAGTCAGCCTCTTCACGCGCCAACTCGTTGATTGACATCGGTAGCTTCTCTAGCAATTTGGAAACTTGCACGGACATTTTTCCAATAAAATACATAACATTATTTTATTGAAACAAATGAGCTAAAATAATTCAAATCCAACATTTTCGGTATCCAGTTTAAACTTAAATCCAATTTTTGCAAAGGGAAATGTTATTCAAAATCATGTCAGCTACCCCCTCTTTCAGGGACCACTAGTTGCGAGACACTCTGTATTTATATCCTTCTTGATTTATAACGTTTGTTCAAATTATTTTTGTTAGGTATTCGGCGTTAATCCCATTCTTCCTTTCATCTCTGCTTCAACACTTCTTTTCACATTATTGCAGCTTTTCTAATTAGTTAAAATCGAACCTTGTTCCATTTAAAATATGTCATTTATCAAATGTTGTAAGCTATGGAAATAAAATTTATTGTTAACTAGTCTGTAATATAATATCTGACCATGCATGATGTTCTGTTACCCAAAAAATTATAGTAAAATAAAAATTTTCTCTTCAACAAATATTAAAATTACTGCACATCTCACTCCAGAAACCTTCTAAAATATTTGAATTATAAACGATACTAAAAAATAACGTGTAATTTTTTGTTGCTATTGCGGTGAGATAATATAACGCTCGCAATATTAATTTTTCAGGAATTAAATTTAAAGACCTAAATTTATTAAAGAACATTGAAGTTGCATATCTATAAAGGAAAATTAATTAGACGCAAAACACTTTCTTTTCAGTAATTCTCTCTTTTACTATACAAACAGTTCTACAATAAATATTAATAGCTTTAAAAATATCTTTATTAATTGATTTTCAGCAGGATGAAACGCTCGTTATCACAGAGCAGGATAGCAATTTATGTATTTGCGTCATTGTACGCCCATGCAAATGCTCTCGCTGGAAAATGAAAGAGTCGCTCAAAAAGGAGAGAAGATTTATAGCAATAGACCAATCGCGATAATAGTTGATTACTTTTGTGAACCTTAAATTGAATACTCGAAATTAGACAATTTCTGGGGCGATCCTGCGGCTTGAGATGAAGTGGTTGTTGACGAAGATAAATTAGTTGTTCTCGAGTTCAATGGCACCTTCGGAGGTAACGAGCTCATTTTGTTACGGCTTTTTATATTCGGTTCGGTCAGCGAATTTCCACTGTCTGGACGACCTGCACATCGTTAGTAAAAACATCCAGCAAATTTTGCTCCGTTTATTGCTATCGTTTCATGAATACTGGCCAAAGGGGGTGTGGCCACATTTTTATATAAAACGGACATCAAATGTTTTGATGTAAATTGGCATTTTTTGAAATAACGAATGAAAGGTGAGCGAAAAACATTTTGACGAATAAAATTCGTGATTCGGTGTTTTCGTGCTACGTCAACAATTCGTACCGAAAAAGGAGAGAATACAGAGTTAGTTAACCATTTTGTACACATTTAAAAAATCGAAACGTATGAAGCGTGACTGAAAGTGTGCAGAAACGTAGTTCGAATACAACGTGGGTTGCGAAAATACGTATGAAATTTGACATTATTAAGTTTTGAATATTCATACTTTTAATTTCGAAGTGATAAGTTTTTGTATTTTCAACTTTTCAATTTTCCAATTTTTCTATTGTACAATTTTTCAAATTTTTACACTTTTAAATTTACAGATTTTCCAATTCCGGAACTTATAACGTTTGAAAGAATTTAATTTTATTATAGAACAATTAAGTCTTCAAATTTGTAAGTTTCCAAATTTTTATATTCCCAAATTTTCTAAAAAATTTTATATTTGTAAATAACATACATTCGTGAATTTCCAAATCTACAAATTCCTAAAGTTTTTCAACTCTTAAACTTTTAATTCGATAAATGTCTAAATTTTTATACTACTAAACTTTTGTGTTTTTAAATATTTTAGTTCTTAAATTTCCGAGTTCTCAATTCCTTTAATTTTTTAAATTCTTCAAATTCTTAAATTTTAAATTTCTCACATTTCTTATATTTTTCGCATTTATCACATTTCTCATATTTTTCACATTTATAACGTTTCTTACATTCCTCAAATTTCTTAAATATCTCAAATTTCGCTGCCAAATTCAAAATTTGTCAAATTCAAATTCCTAAATTCTTAAATATCCAACTTCCTAAATTTCTCCATCGCAAAATCCAATATTCCCCAATTTATAGTCTCTAGATTTCAATATCCGTCAATTTTCAAATTCCAATATTTATGATTTTAATTTTCTACGTCCCCAAATTCCTAAGTCGCTAAATCCCTAAATTTCCATACACGTAATCCCCAAATCCCCAGGTCTCCAAATTCTAAATTATTTTACTTCCAAATTCTATATTCTAAGTTATTTAAATTCCGAATCCTAAATTCTAAATTATTTAAATTCCAAATTCCAGATTAACTTATTCCTAAACCCAAATATCTTCAGTCTACTATATCTCCAAATTCTTAAATCACCCCCAACATTTTAAGTTCTCAAAAATCCCTAAAAAACGATATGGTTTTGTATAAGCGTTTCATTTCCCTTAGGGAAGTCTAATTTGTTCCCGATTGCACAACAGAATATCATATTAAAGTGTAGTAGATTTATATCTATATTATAACAGGGATGTTCTTTGAGAAATAACAAAGTAAACGGATGATACCGTCACACAGTGTTTACAGACTAAATTATTTAAATTCCGAATCCTATATTCTAAATTATTTAAATTCCAAATTCCAGATTAACTTATTCCTAAACCCAAATATCTTCAGTCTACTATATCTCCAAATTCTTAAATCACCCCCAACATTTTAAGTTCTCAAAAATCCCTAAAAAACGATATGGTTTTGTATAAGCGTTTCATTTCCCTTAGGGAAGTCTAATTTGTTCCCGATTGCACAACAGAATATCATATTAAAGTGTAGTAGATTTATATCTATATTATAACAGGGATGTTCTTTGAGAAATAACAGAGTAAACGGATGATACCGTCACACAGTGTTTATAGAGGATATACCTACAGATGTCAATCCACGTGTTGGCGCGTGAGATCGAACCAATGTAAAAGAAGCTCTATCCCCACCGTGAACACTTCCAGTTTTCAGCGTTAAATTTCGGCAAATAATAATGATGACAATAATAACTGCATCACGCAATTCGCACTATCTCACTCTCGAGACGTTTGCCTATCATTGTTTTTGGCCTAATTGGTGTGCGACCGCGAAAATCAATATACCGCCGAAAATACGTGTGGGTCGTCCGTTTTTCTATTCGAACCAATTTGAATCGCAGCTCTTCTAAACATCTGGGTCATCCTCTTCACGCGCCAACTCGTGGGTTGACATCCGTACTGTCCCAGCGTGTTTTGCAAAATTCCCCAAAGTGATTTATTTATAACTGTTTCGATACGTATGTCAGAAAATAAAAGGAATATTTGTATCATATTTCCTCCGTTTCTTGCAGGAAAAACTTCGGCAAATATGAAAGGAAACCGAACACTTCGCTATAATTTTTCCTAATTTTTGAAGGGGGGAAAAGTTGGTAACAGTATATGAGACACCACACGAAACACCTTGCGCGGCATTGTTTTCCTAAACAGAGCGAGCAACGCAATTTCGAGAAAATCTATCCTTTATTTAGTCGGAAAGAAAAAAGAAAAGCAGGGACAGCGTTCAATGGTATAACAAGATCTTTCTGCTTCTCTGATTTCCTCTGTCACAAAGATGACACGTTCACGGAATAAAAGGTTGCGAACCGTTTTGTCATCCAAGATATCAATTCTGCAGAGTATTCTGGGTATACGGTGACAAAAATAAAACGACAAAATGACGATACAGCAAGCGACTCACTAGAATATCAATTTATGAATAAAATTAAATCAAATCTATATAATGATGAATGATTAATTAGAAAGTCAAAAGAAACATAATTAATGATCCTCCTAAATAAATTTTTTATTTTGTTAAATTTTATTAAAATGTTTTTAAAAGTGTGCATTCATAGACAAAATTTATGACTCATTCATTTATGATGAATGATCAAGGTTTCAAATAATTTTGACGAGGGTTTTAAAGTAATTAGATAAATAATATACTCCAGTTTTGATTCATCAAAATTGTTCATTTTCATCCTATGTGCAAATAAGTGATTCAGACCGAAAACGGGAAATTGGATTTTATAATGCAAGTGGACAGTAAGCTGGAACATCGAAACCTTTGTCGTGCACATACAATGGAAGATATATTTCATTTTAGCCATCACAATAGTCAACATGAGATTCAATTGAAAATGATTGGGCTCATGTGGAGACGAAACGTTAAAAACGTAAAGTACACAGAGAGAACTATTGGCAATGTTGTGTCGATAGGATTATCTCTACATTTTTATAAATTCTATAAACTAAATCAACAACAATTTATAATACATTATTTAAAGGTCGAAATATATTCGATGAAAAGTACTCGAAATTTGTCTTTATAGTACAACAAAGATATAGAACTGATATTTGTAATGTGTTTATTTATGTATATTCTATTGATTACCTATTGATTATTCTAGTGTTACAGATATTTTAGTATAATTGGTGCTCTAGTTCCTCAAATCTTAAATTTATGAGGGAAAATTAATTTTGCATATATTCTTTGACACACTTCTCGCTTTATCCTAAAATTTAAGAGTCCTACATGAAACGATGTTAGATAAGCCAAACATTTTTAGATTTGATAGAAAATCTGTATCGCAAACTTTTACAAGTATCTCTTGAGAAAAATTTTCATATTTTATGGCTCGATTTTATGTAAGATTTTCTCTTTTTGAGTTAATAGAGCCAGGAGCTGTGTGTGTTCCTTAAGGAGAAGGAGAGAATGGTTAACGATCAGGATAACTAAATTGGGAGAGCAGTAGCCTGGCAAGCGGAAGATCCGGTTTCGAATCCCGGTTCAGCAATCCAATCAACTAAATATCTTTTTTCCTACAATAAATCGAGAAAAATGTACGTAATAAAAATTCTGGGAAATTTATATTGATTCTACTCGTATCATGAGTTCATACATATATAATTATTTGTGACGTATTCAAAAGTGATATTGGCACTTCCGAAAAATCCTGCACACTCTTCTTCATAGAAAGACTAAAAATGATACGCGAGAAATATCAATTTATTATAGAATAACATTTTTCAGTGCAAGAGGAGTTTATGAATGGTGTTTTTAAGAAATTATTATTTAGTTCAAAGTAGTGGAAAAGGTTAAAATTTGCAAATTTAGAATATAGTAATAAAGAATATAGTAATTTGGAAATATATAAACTTAAGAACATGTGTAGGGATTTCGAAATTTGGTTGTTTGGACTTTTGCGTTTTACAGAATTTGTAAAATTAAAATTTAGAAATTTGGAGATTAAAAAATTTGAAAATTTAGAAATTTGGAGACTTGGAAATTTAGAGATTAACTTGGAAATTAAGGAGATTAACAAATTTAATAATATAAAATAATATAAAAATATAAAAATTTGACAATTTAAAGCTTAGAATATTAGGGAATTTGAGAACTTGGAACCTTGGAGTCTTGGCACCTTTGGGATTTGGAATCTGGGGAATTTCGGATTCGGGGAATTTGGGATTTGGAGAATTTTTGATTCGGGAAATTTGGGATTCGGGGAATTTGGGAATTGGGAAAATTGGGATTTGGGTAATTTGGGATTTGGAGAATTTGGGAATTGGGGAAATTGGGAATTGGGAAAATTGGGATTTGGGTAATTTGGGATTTGAAGAATTTAGGAATTGGAGAAATTGGGAATTGAGAGAATTGGGATTTGGGGAATTTGGGCCTTGGAAAATTTGGAATTTGGAAAATTTGGGATCTGGGGCATGTGGGATTTGGGGAGTTTGGGATTTGAGGAATTTGGGAATTAGGGAAATTGGGATTTGGGGAATTTGGGATTTGGAGAATTTTTGATTCGGGGAATTTGGGATTTGGGGAATTTGGGAATTGGGAAAATTGGGATTTGGGTAATTTGGGATTTGGAGAATTTGGGAATTGGGGAAATTGGGAATTGGGAAAATTGGGATTTGGGTAATTTGGGATTTGAAGAATTTAGGAATTGGAGAAATTGGGAATTGAGAGAATTGGGATTTGGGGAATTTGGGCCTTGGAAAATTTGGAATTTGGAAAATTTGGGATCTGGGGCATGTGGGATTTGGGGAGTTTGGGATTTGAGGAATTTGGGAATTAGGGAAATTGGGATTTGGGGAATTTGGGATTTGGAGAATTTTTGATTCGGGAAATTTGGGATTCGGGGAATTTGGGATTTGGAGAATTTTTGATTCGGGGAATTTGGGATTTGGGGAATTTGGGAATTGGGAAAATTGGGATTTGGGTAATTTGGGATTTGGAGAATTTGGGAATTGGGGAAATTGGGAATTGGGAAAATTGGGATTTGGGTAATTTGGGATTTGAAGAATTTAGGAATTGGAGAAATTGGGAATTGAGAGAATTGGGATTTGGGGAATTTGGGCCTTGGAAAATTTGGAATTTGGAAAATTTGGGATCTGGGGCATGTGGGATTTGGGGAGTTTGGGATTTGAGGAATTTGGGAATTAGGGAAATTGGGATTTGGGGAATTTGGGATTTGGAGAATTTGGGATTTGGGGAATTTGGGATCTGGGGAATGTGGGGTCTTGGGATTTTTGGATTTTGAGGAGTTTGGGATCTAGAGAATTTGAGATCTGGGGAATTTGGAATTTGGAATCAGAGAAATTTGGAATTTGGGGAATTTGGAAAATTTGAAATTTGAGAATGTGGGAATTTGGAAATTTAGAAATTTGGAAATTTGGAAATATAGAAATTTGTTAATACAGGAATTTGGAAATTTGGCAACTTCAAAATTCGAAAATTCAGAAATACAAGAATTCGGAACATTTGTAGACTCGCGAAAAATTTACAAACGTATATACATAAATCGACTTTACGTTATAAAAGTCAAATGCGTCAGAAAGATGTTAAACCACCTGTCTTCCATAAAAAGGTTATTAATACGTATATTGGTATGCGCATACAAGGCATTGTAAAAGTATCAAGCATTTTTTACTTTCCTCTTAACTGATTCAGCATCCTCGAGAAAATCCCACGTGTGTTATCTTCTGTGGCTTTCTTCTCGTTGTCGTTGTCATTATGGGGATGTCGGCGCAAAATACGGCTCAGAGATCCTGCTCGAGGATGAAACAGTTTTTTCGGTGAACCATCTTTATCCACTAGCTTGAACATTCTACCCAACGAATTACTCTTCTCTTTCTGCGAGACTTCGTCACAGCTCTCCGCTGATTTCATCGTACTCTGTCAAATATAATTTATCTTTACAGAAGCAACCCAGGTAAATGGATTAGTCATCCACTCTCGACTGATAACGAGTTTGTACCATAACATTTTAACGTTATTTCTATTTTATTTAATAATTCGGTTTTATTTTATAGTGTATACTTCCGTTTTATTATATAGGGAATAAAATTCCTTTTTATTATACAATAACTAGTAGCACCTGAAATATCTTCGAATCTATAAGGTTCAGAGAAAAATTAAAGTAACCAAAATTGTACAGTACGAAGGGGTCTATTGTATAGCGATAATTTTTGTCCAAGTGGAGGCGCTTCGGAGATATGAAGTCATCTCCGTTTTTTCAAATGGAACGGTTTTTTGCTTACATTCTGATATAGTATTTCAGGGCGAATACAATGATCCATTGGGAAGATCATTCATGGTCTGGGTTAAGCCAATTATGATGGAAAATAATTTACTTTCAGGAAATGGTCGAATCCTTGCCGTCTCCGGTTGCTTATATTACTTCATCTCTGCCTCGAAATCTCTTGTTATGGGTTGTTGAATAGAAATAAGCATTGAATTACGCTGTACAATTCATCTGCATGTACTGTAATTAGTCGTAGACGAGAATCTCTACCGAGCGAAGTGAATCTCAAGTTTCTGAAATACTTTATTCAATAGCGGAAAGAGTAGATATGGTTTTTGTTTCTGGGGAATGTCGTCAAATTGTAAGAGATGGAGTCTGTTCGTATGCTGAACATATGTAGTCGTGTATTACTATTAGCTAAGTAAATCAACGGTAATTGACCATTTCATAAAAATAAATTATTTTTCATCGCACTTGGCTTAACCCAGACCAATGACCTTCTTAATACATCTGTCTATTCGCCTTGAAATATTCTATGAGAATGTAAGTAAAAAAATATACTGTTCTATTTAAAAAAACAGAAATGATCTTCACATCTCCGAAGAGCTTCCACTTGGGCAAAAATTATAACTATGTGATAGACTCTTTCCTACTGTACAATTTTTATTTTACTAATTTTTCTCTGAGCTTTATAGACTCGAAGATAATGAAAGTTATTGCAATAGCAGTTACTGTTCCACCCTGTGTATTTGAAGAAAATCGTAAACTACAGGGTGTTATCTGAAACATGATTTCTCACACACTTGCAGCTTGTTGAAAAATAGTTCGTAACAAAAGTTTCAGGATAGTGCACAATAACAATTGAAAAAAAATTTGAAAATAGTCTGTTCTCGTTGCGAAATCGTGGTGGAATGGGAACACATATTTTTTACTATACTGAAGAGAATATCGGGATGAATTCAAAATAAACATTATACAATATTTTAAAAATGTTACAAGTTCCTTCTATGTCTCATTAAATTAAAGCTGACAATCATATAAAGGTAACAAGGTAAAACTTTCATAAAAGTAAACAAAAAACAAAGCTATCATAAATATTCTTTTTTAGTATAAAATAACAAATTGTTAATTACCGTAAACTCAGGTACAGAGTATCATTTCTCTGTCAGAATTTTAATTGCAGATTCAGAATTAGATTCATTTAATTCAAAGCACCAAGAAAGTATACAATGGGTGCATAGTATTATGTTCCTTTGACAAATCTTAATTAGAGGGAACAGAGGGTATGTTTGATCTATAATTTTATATACGAGGTCTGTCCCAAAAGTATCCGACCTTCCTTCATATTTCTCTGCTGGTGTCATCCTGCGTCATCAGGCTGGTGGCATCCTTCGAAGTAGTCCCCTATTGATTGTAGAATACTCTGCCAAAGACCTTTCCACTTATGGAAACAGTCCTGGAACTCGTTTTTCGGAATAGCCTTTAGAGCTTTCGTCGTATTAGTTTCGACCGTTTCTTTATCGTCGAATCGGTGTCTTTTGAGTGGCATTTTCAATCTTCGAAACAACCAAAAATCGCAGGAAGCTACATCAGAACTGTACGGAGGTTGATGGAGCTGTATGACTTTGTGCTTCGTCAAATATTGTTGCACAAGATTCGATGCATGCGCTGATGCGTTATCGTGATGAAGAAGCCAATCACCGCTTGACCAAAACTGAGGCCAAAACTAGTTTTCGGTATTGCAAGATCACATTCTAGTTCTCGCACAGTCAATCGACGATTTTTGTTGATCGCAAGTCGCACACGTTCGATATTATTAGATCTTGTTGTCGTGGAAGGCCGCCCAGAGCGTGGGTTACTATCAACAGATGTGCGGCCATCTTTGAACCGCTTATACCACTCTTTGATTTGTGTGTTGCTCATATACTCATCCCCAAATGCCTTCTTCATCATATCGTTGGTTTCCGCACAACTCTTTTCGAGTTTTAAGGAAAATTTGATGCAAATTCGTTGCTCCGATCTTTCCCTCATTTTTCACAACAGCAGAATGCGACGAACGTAAAAAACGCTTCGCAAAGAAATGCACGTTGCACATGAACTAAGGCGTCCCGACGAAAACTGCGATATCGTGGGAGTTCGTAAAGCTTTGCAGTTGATACTCATACCCGGCAAATGACGATAAAATTGTCAGGTGCGAAGAAATTAAAGAAGGTCGGATACTTTTGGGACAGACCTCGTAATTGACCGAAAGAGATATACAGTGTTTAGGTTCTTGCTGCTGAAAATGTTATGATTTGCTTAATGACTAGAATTTTTTAAGAAATTAACATTTTCATTATCTCAGTTTATTTGAATTATTTTTTGGGAACAATTAAATGATAGAAGATTATATTAACTTTAAAATAGCATAGGTGAATTAGTTTTAACAAATCTATAAGTTGATAGAAATTTGATATTTAATGCTAATGCGATAAGAAAATAGTCTTTCCTTGAGATTTTAGTTAACCTATCCGAGGAGCCAATGTTATGTAATCTTCAGAGCAAGCAGAGTTTCCGCAGAGTATCTAAACATTTATCTACTCTAAACTCTGTCAACTTTGCTCTCTAGAAACTTTGCACTTTCACACGTTACACAAAATGCTATTATTATATAAAAGTATTGCAAGAAGACATTTATGTTATATCCACTTAAAAGTTAAAATTTGTCAAAAATAACTATATGCACATTTTATTGATATTTATAGTACGACAATTTAAATTATTTGTAAATTTTTTTGGGAGGGTGAAATTTATAATTATCAGTAATATGGAAATTTATTGTGACTTTGTGAAAGAATTTAAAAATTCTTATTTAGATTAGATTATTAGACTATTTAGTTTATTCACAAGTTTGATTTAAATTATTAATTATTTGCAAATATTATTCTTTCTTAATTAAAATTAATAAATCATTCCAATTGCAGCATAATATTATCTATTACCAAGTATTCGATTTTTAGTTCATTATATTAAAAAATATCTGTATTAACTTGTTCTTTATAAATTTTTACTCGTACGAGCTTTTATTTAAAATATAAACTTGCATATGACAGCTAGTCATCTTGTAGTATAAAAGCTTGTTATTCTGAAAAATAATTGGGTTGCATAAAAGAAGGAAGGCATAGTAATAAGCAATAAATTAATTGTTGCGCTTTTAACACGAGAGACGTCAATCAAGTCAATATACAGCCACGTCAAATACAATATACAGTGGAAATGCGAAGTAAAAGACCGAAATGTTACGTGATGGAAGACGGCATGCATTTTGAATATGTAATTAAATGAAGTGTATTTTTCTTACATTCTAGTCGCGTGTTTACATTCAGTAATCTCTTCGGAATCAAATAATGGTTACACTTTAGTAAAAGTCAACAGCCAAATGCTTCACATTTCCTCTTCTGTAAATCGAGTAACAGGTTAATGAAAATATCATGTAATATATGTTTTGAATTCGTCTCGATGTCCTCTAAAGCTATGAATAAAAAAATGTATGTTCTTATTTGAAAAACCCAAGCTGACCTTGACTTTGCTAAGAGAACAAACTGTTTTCAAAATTTGCTTTACTAATATCTATTGTGCACTTCATACCCTGCAAATATTGTTGTAAACTTTTTTTCGTAAGGTGGCTGCAAGTGGGAGAAAAATAGTGAGTAACGTTACAGGTAACACACTGTGTAGTTCTATCAATTTGTAGAAATAATATTGTAATACATATAATATTATGGAATGTTGAATATGTTTTTTTCATTTTCCCAAATCCCAAATATTCCAAAGCCCAAATTCCCCAAATCCTAATTTTCCCAGTTCCCAATTTCCCCAATTCCCAATTTCCCCAATTCCCAATTTGCCCAATTCCCAATTTCCCCAATTCCCAATTTCCCCAATTCCCAATTTCCCCAATTCCCAATTTCCCCAATTCCCAATTTCCCCAATTCCCAATTTCCCCAATTCCCAATTTCCCCAATTCCCAATTTCCCCAATTCCCAATTTCCCCAATTCCCAATTTCCCCAATTCCCCCAATTCCCAATTTCCCAATTCCCAATTTGCCCAATTCCCAATTTGCCCAATTCCCAATTTGCCCAATTCCCAATTTGCCCAATTCCCAATTTGCCCAATTCCCAATTTGCCCAATTCCCAATTTGCCCAATTCCCAATTTGCCCAATTCCCAATTTGCCCAATTCCCAATTTGCCCAATTCCCAATTTGCCCAATTCCCAATTTGCCCAATTCCCAATTTGCCCAATTCCCAATTTGCCCAATTCCCAATTTGCCCAATTTCCAATTTTCCAAATCCCAATTTCCCCAATTCCCAAATTCCCCAAATCCCAAATTCCCCGAATCCCAAATTTCCCGAATCAAAAATTCTCCAAATCCCAAATTCCCCGAATCCGAAATTCCCCAGATTCTAAAGCTTAGATAGGTCTTAATTGATTGAAATATGAGTACATTTAAAAAATGTGTAACACTTCATTCTAAAAGCTGAATATCTTCGTTTCACAAACAATAATATAAATATAAAAATTTAACACAGAGTAAAATATTCTATAATTTTTTCCTCATCACCCTATACATATATTTCTGTAATAGGGTACATAAATGAACATGCAAGTATTGCCAAAATTAATCAACTCATGCAATAATTTATCACAATACAAGTGTTGTAATAATGCAGTGATTAACTGTAATAATCAATATTGTTATAAAAATTATTCATCAAATATTTGTTCAAATATTTGCAATAGTAAGGATTTTTTTAATATTGATAAAAAATATCTGTTACTGCCAAACACAAATTTTTATCTCGATATTTTATGGCTTCTACATTCTCCGAATCGATGTGACCTGTTTCAATCCATAAATTATTTCCCCGAATATTGGTTACTCTACAAAATTGCTCAAACGATACTTATTCTGTGTCGAAGAAGCAGTAATTTATTATAATTAGTCCGTTTGTACGCGAATACATGAAGGATTTATTAAAATCATGAATATTCGAATAACAAATATTTTGTTAATCAAGATAATTGCATTTATAAATTATATTATTTTGTGCATAACGAAGACCAGCATGCAGTATGTTTATGTAATTTAATCTCTCTAATTTCCTTTATTTTTAGGTTGATTATTGGATATGATGTACTCTAAATAAGTCTAATAAATTAATGTACTCTAATAAAGTATCGTAACAAAAAATATTAATATTGAACTTACAGGCATGTAATGGAACTTCATTTGGAATTGAAAATGAAATTGTAACATAAATGAACAACCGACAAAGTAGTGCACACGTTGCTTCTCTATCTTGATAAAAATCAACGCATATTTTAAGGAAAGCATTTTAACAAATTGTGTAACTTATAATAAGAAACTTTTAGAGCGGTCATTCAACCAATTCGATACTTTTGATGTAAAGGATTAAAGAATTTAATATCTGTTGCAAACTTTTTATCCCTTGATAAATTGAAAGTCTTACCGTGTCTTCTTTTGTGTTTGCAGGAGATTTATTAGAAACAGGAGTTTGTGATCGTTGTCTAAACATTCTTCCCATTCTGTTTAGTGTTGCACTTTTCAATTTCCTAGCATCTTGTCTGACAGATTCAGTTCTTGATCTTCTTTGTACTGGTTCGGGAGGTCTCTCTCTATCTTTCGTGCTGGGTGTTTCTTTGTCTGAACCTGATGCAGAAATTTGGAATTATTATAATGTTCCAATTAATTTAGTCGTTATAATTATAATTTCTTATGGTATGATTGAGTTATTTATTTTGAAAATGATCTAAGTACATTTATCAGACGTTTGTTAACAAGTTTGGTAACATGTACCACTTGATATTGACGGTCATCAAAAACATTTCACGGTTAAGTATCTTCAATATTTATTAATTTTTAAATTAAGGAAATATTTAACTGCCACTTTCTCTACCAAACAACACATTTCATTTTTAAACAAATATTTGAAAAAATTTTAAAATTCAATTGTCTCGATAATGAAGATACACACGAAGAAGTTTCATTCTATATTTTCGATTCATTTTTTTCGAGAGAAATTAAGCACGGTCACTGAAATACTGTGTATATGACAGAAATATGAAAATAAAGAGTGAACAATTAAACAAGACATATACTAGAACCGAGCTACACAAAGTTCCACGATTTTTTACGTAAACTTTTATGCTTTCATGCGACATAAACTTTATGTGTGTCGCAGGATGTTTTCTTGGAAAATGTTGATAAATGTGTTGCTAACAATGTGTTACTGCAACTGTTGTGACAATAAGATATTACTGCAATTTCAATTATTTTACTGTTGTAATAGTAGGTTTAGAGGACGAGTCACTTTTTCCAATTTTTTTAGGAAAATTAAAAAAACCGTTCGAATTTTTATTTTATCTCTTGCACTGACTTTTATCCATTGAACGAGATAAATATTTATTGAAGTCTATTTTCTTCAAAAACTTTGAAATATTTTAATTTGCTATGTGGTATACCTATCTCTGCGGATGTTCGTCAATTTGACGCGATCGTAATGTAAATACAATTTTTAGTAAATTAGTTTTACCCATGCAAAAATTACAACAATAATAAATATGAATGCACCGGCAATATCTTATAAACGACGGACTTCGCTAGTCCGGAGTTGCACGCGGCCGACTCAGCCGGTATGCCGGGTTCGGACCCGGCGTCGCAGTACAAATCGCAGTTCGCAGGGTAGAGGGAAGTAAAAATATGAATGTAGAATATTGAAGTAATGTACTAAAATGTTATTGAATAATAAAAACTTTCTATAAATATATGTCTCATATTTTCATTTCTTACTTGTAGTGTTTAATTATATTGATTTCTAAGTGGTTGTTTTTCTTTAAATATATGTATTCGTTCATGCGTCAAATTGACGCGTGTTCGTAGAAACGGGTATATAAAAAATATCCTTAAACCTACTACTAAATTCGATCAAGTTACTGTTATTGCAATAGCAAGATATTGTTTCAATTTCAGTTATTTTTTGTAGTATTTAACAGAAGATATTATTTTAATTTTTGCTATTTTCCTGTTGTTATAACAGCGAGATATTGTTTCAATTTCAGTTATTTTTTGTAGTATTTAACAATAAGATATCATTTTAATTTTTGCTATTTTCCTGTTGTTATAACAGCGAGATATTGATGCAATTTCATTTATTTTATTGCTATTATTAAAGTAGGGTATTGTTTCACTTTCAATTATTTTATTGCTTTCGAAACGGTAAAACTTTGTTGCGAATCCACTAATTTTATTATTATTATAACAGAAAGACATTGTCTCTTTCAGCCTCGTTAAAAGTGCTTTCGACTGATAATATGCGTGTGATATATGTCGATTACGTATTCGGATGATAATTTTCATGAAACATAATACCAGTATATTGATTCTCGATACCCATCGTCGATTGAGTGCCAACCGTTTAATTTGTATGCGAGCTAGCGAAACGATAAACAAATCGTAGCAGTCGCAGGGCATTTATAATATGCATTGCTCAATGTGCTTCTCACTGAATCATGCCATGCTATTCAGCATCTAGAGTATTATATTTGATAATGACAATAGCTTGAATTAATATTTAACTGTTTCATCGCATGAGGTATACACTACTATTCAAATGTTCGAAAGTGGTTGCACCTCTTCGTTAAACGCGTTATTCTTTATCAATAATTGTAAAATATTTTAGTCATTTTATAACAAGGTTATATTAAAAATAAAATATTCATTCTGTATTCGAATTACTTCTTATTGTTTCTTCGTTGTGTTTTTGTCTATTAATTTAGTGGTTGCATTTTGATTATTAACTTTTTATTAAAATAATAATAATTAGTTTTGTATATCAACTTTAGTATTTTTAGTCAGTTTATTAACTTAGTTATTGATTTTGTTCATTAACGATCATTTCAATATTATTCTACACTGTGTTCAAATTATAAATGCTTCCTATTCAATCCAAATTTTACTTTAAACAAAAAACGAATTTTGAGAAAGTATACTCGTCATTAAATGAAAAGTTCATACATGACGAGTACATTCGGCATAAAATATTACGGCCAAGTGTTTTTTATGTCGAAACGAAGTAAAAGCACGTTAAAATATTTTTTTCGCTACAATTTATAAATAACTGATATATTTGCATGAAAATGAATTTATTACAACGTGATACGGAATTTATTAAGAACGATTTATTGAATAATTGAAATTAATATGCATTCACTTTGAGTGCTAAAAACCATTTATTCAGTTTGAATTTTATTTTTATGCGGTCTCTGCCAATTACACCAGCGATGCAATCTCTTTCGCACAGAGATAAATGATTTTAAATATACAATTGAATAAGTCGTTAATTGCTGCGTTAATTACAGGATGCACCAGGTCATTTATGAATTTCCTTTATGGTATTATAAAGATTATTTTCCATTCATAATTCTTTTTATACCCCGTTTATATGAATTTATACTCCATACGTGAATTTCAATATGCATTACAAAATATGAAAATGATCTCTTTAAAAAATTAATAATTTTACCGCCCCTGGCCATTGAATTAGGACCACTATAAATTTTCAGCATTCTACACGTTTTCAGTAAAATTAATAGGCCTATTCAAATTGTAGTAATTTATTAGCTACTAACATTACTACTGTACATAACATTATTGACACATGTTAATATCTTGTTTCCACTCTTTGCTTTGGTCACAGCTTCCGGCATGCTCTGTATACATCATATGCTTTATATCTTCATTATTTTCCCAAATATCTGTAATTCTTTTCAGCTCAGATAATGTGGTTGGAGAGTTGTAAACTAGTCTTTTGGTAGGCAGACATTTTCTATGGCATTCAAATTTCACCTGACGCTCTATCGATACTCGGCCTAACCTAAACGCTCGCACGGTTAATCGCTCATCACCCACACAATTTATTATCACGATAGTAACAGAATGCTATGTATATATCGTTATCAACATATTTAGTAATAATTTGCATGACCTAAGACAATTTTCCATATATGACAGCCTAACCTAAACGCTCGCACGGTTAATCGCTCATCACCCACACAATTTATTATCACGATAGTAACAGAATGCTATGTATATATCGTTATCAACATATTTAGTAATAATTTGCATGACCTAAGACAATTTTCCATATATGACAGGGGTGGCCAACCTGCGGTTCGCGAGCCAC